CATCTTTCACAATCCGATGCGTCCTCTCTTCGCTGACATAGTTTGAAATCTTTTATCTCTTGAATAAATAGTTATGAAGAACGCATTAATTTATGTTGTTTCAAGCCTGTTAGACATCTTATAATAGCATTATTCGTCTACAAATGAAAAGTGAGAAATAAAAAAATTTTGGGGTAAATTCCTATTCATGACGTTTATTTGTTAGCTGCCTTGTTTTTGAGGGCTTAGAGATAATTATTTTTGTACGTTAACATGAAAAGCTCATTCGTTGTCCAGTAAGCTGCATTATATTAAAATCACCATCTGTTCGAGTAAGAACCAAAAGTAAAAAAGTAAAATTTGATTGCTGCTGTTGTTGATTGTGGTAAAATTCATCATAGACTAGTTTTAATATTAGACTTTTGCAGATGGGAGATTTGACACTTTACCTTTGTTGCATTCACCTAAAGTGGGACGGCTTGGAGAGTCTTTTATGTGATTCAGACTCAGCAAGAAAAGGAAAAGAAGAAATAAAATTTTTGGCGAGGATAAAACTGCAACGAACAAAACAGCAGAAATTGGTAAAACAATGACAAATTTTTTAAGCTGCTTGACTAATTAAAATACTCTGATTAAAAACAGCTGCATCTTTAAGCTAGGGGTGAAATAAGAATAACGAATAGAAGCAGAGTAAAATATGTGCATATTTTTACAATATTTTGAAGATTTTTTTTTATTGCTACTTAATAGCTTTAACTATGCTTTTTAGTTGCTTACTTTTGACGTAGTAAGTATTTATGTTATATAATTGTTTTGGAATACACTTCAGACCTTCATCGTTGAATTTTTTTAAAAAAAGCCATTCTTATTGATCTGATAAGTTACTTTATATCCTGCAACTTACTTCTAACTGATTATGAGCTAATGTTTTTTATTATATGATTTAGATTTTAAGTTTTCCATGAAAAAAGTCAAAACTTGATATTTTTGGCTGAAAAACAAAAATCTGTAGAGTTTTTATTTCTCGTTTAACGTCATCATAAATTGTTTTAAATGTACCTTTTCCAGTTTAAAAATTTTTAGCCATTACTGTTTTCACCTGATTAACCCACTTACTCATATTTACCTTGTTGATCACACGTCAGTACTGTAACAGTAGATGTGTATAAAGAAAAAGGTCTGCTGAAAACGCTGCTGGTTTAATGCAAAAAACAGCGACTTGTCTCCAGCAATGGTGATCCTTACTGTCCGAGAAAGTTCTGATGGTTGTTCTGCCGTGCTCTTCGTTTAATTTTACTTGATCTTTGTTAATAAATACGGCAACACGAAATGCAATAAGAATTTTGTAAAATATAAATTGAACCAAACCAGACACTTTTCAACAGTGTACGAAATATGTTGCAGATTTTAGAAAAGTAGTTTAAAAAAATTTTAAACACAGTTTGGTAACATGAAAAACTATAAAATTTTAAGGGGTAAATTTGCAACACTCTGCTGCTACAGATAAACCAAAATTTTTGAATGTCTGTCAGCTACTGTACACCATAAATGAATTTTATTCAGTTTTTTTTTCAAAATCTTGTTGAGGCTAATTTTTTGAGCTTCTTTCAAGCTAAATAAGAAATTATAAGAAACTTTTTAACTTTTTGCGTTACATTTAACCATTATTATTAAATTGTTAAAAGTTTCTGGAAAACTCTTTGCGTTTGAAAATTTCTAGACATTTTTACAAAAAAGAACTTTTATTCTTCTGAAGCGTTTTATAACACTTTAAATGCTGCAGCATTTTTTCTGACTAGATTACGCTTTGAAGGATTAATAAAAGCGCATTTGATTTTTTTTTCTTTCTAAGCGAGAATATATCCAGATTGTATTGCTGTTTTGTTGTCATATTTCTCCTTAAATCTTGGACTTCTGCAAGAGATACTCTAAACAACTTGGAAAAACAGAGTGCAGTAAATGTGTTATTAAAATACATTGGAAATGCAAAGAAGATCAAAAAACTATTGTAAAGCGTCAGATAGCTTAGAGGCATTACTCAAAAATAGTCTTCTCGTCATATCTTATTGGGTGCATTTTATGTTTTAAAATCACTTAAATTTTCTGTTGATGGACAAGTGAACAGCAAAAGAAAATGTTAATAAAACTGTGCAAAACTGAAAACATACATCCAAAACCGGCATGAACATCATACAGGAACTCACTAACACATCTGGCAAATTTCAACAAAATTGTTGTGGAAGAAAGAAATACATGAACAGTTCGCAAATACAAAAACGCTTTTTACTGTGAAATCGTTCTACACTATTGAAAAAACCAGTCATAATTAAACTAAAAAATAATATGGTAGGACTTTGTTTAAATAAGTTTTTGCATTTTATTGGTTATAATAAACAAAGTGCCAGGTAACTTCTCCTCTTTTACGTCAAATTCAGTTTGCATAACCAACTTTTAAACAACTTTTGAAAATCTTTATTTTTAAAAAAATATTAGTTTTTTTTTACTGCCCTCTGACACAATGACGCCGTAAGCTTTTTACTTAGTGCTACAAGATCCATTATTGTATTTTAGAGATCATATGGTTGCACCTAATAGATCATTTACTGATGGCCTTTTAACAATGTCATCTTCACTGAGCTGCAAAAGAAAGTTCCTTTACCACACAGTTGGTTGTTCTTTATACCTGGAGAATTTTCGTCTTACTGTTACAATTAAGTTCCTATTTAGTATTGCTATTAAATAGATTACTCTCGCTTTTTTTTTGACTGTTTGGTAAGACTTTTATTAATTTCTTTTTCCATACTTATCTTTTTATTGAGCTTGCATTGCTTCTTCCTATTTAGTTAATGAAGGTATTAAAAGAAGAAGAAGATAGCAATTCAAGTCACAAATAAATAAAGATTCGTCTGACTTGCCATTATATGCCCTCATTTGAATGCTCAATCAGGAAAAGATACAGAATAGGTTATTGCCGAAGACAAAAAAAAAATGCACAATAGTGAGTCGCTTCTTTATCGAATTGACTTTTATACTTCAAAAGGTACCTCAAAAAACTTCAAAATACAGAAGAACTTTAACGCAGTTGTAGTGAGTCAAATGCTGTATCGTTTTATAAAAAGACCTATGCTTCCTGATTGTAACAACTGCACAAAGCTAGATTTTTTGAGAAACAATGAAATATCATCGTATGATTTTTCTCTTTCCTCTTTTGCCAGAATAATTATTAGAACAACTGTTGCTAAAATGCAGTCAAAGTGCAGAGAAACAATGCGTAAAGATTTTGGATGTCACACAATGCAGATGTGCTTACAAAAAAATTTCATTTACAAATTATTAGACACTGCCCAGCTTAGAATGGGTAATGCTAGATACCCGATAGTACCGTGATAAATTTATGCGATCTGACAATAAACAATAACAAAATTTTGTTTTGAATCACCACAAGAGAAACACCGAATTCCCCCTTGCTTTCTATCCTCTCAAGCACTAATCCAGAAGCAGCATTTAAGAGGAGTGAAAAAAGATGGTGATGAATAACTAAATAAGGTAAAACAAGACATGCTTAAAAGCACAGATTTCTCGTCACACAAGCTGTAAGTCAGTCAAAAAGTAACCTGCTACAAGCACGCTGCGGAACAGGATATGAGATATGTAACGTCGAAGTATGATGCCAAGAAAAACTGCTTTTTAGTAAATAATTCCCAATATATAAACACCTTGTCTCTGCAACATCTACCACCCGACAAATGACTGTATTTTAATTTTTCACCAATGAGTGACCAATTACAATAATTTTTTTTAGATCCCCATGTATCTCCAGCATTGCATGTTATAACAAAATATACTGGTTTAGTAATGCGCTTCAGCAGCGACCGTACTGCTCCATGACATTACTCCTGTTGGCAAACCAACAACGGCTACAAGACTTCGGACACTGATAACTCATATATTGGTAGTAAACCGGATCGTTACACAAAAACTTTCTTCTCGGACAATCTGTATATCCATTTGGTCCAACTTTATCCATACACGTCCGAGGCGTAACTAAAAATTCCCTTTACATTTACAAAAAACAATTAAAAATTTCCTTTTGGCATCTTTTTTTCAGTTTATGCTAAAGGAACCATAATGCATTATTTGCTATACCTCGCGAAACATAAACTGGAAAACGATGACGGGGTCGATGGGGTGTGATAACTGTGATGCTGCTTCCGCCTTTACCGGTAGGCCGAATAAGATTGCGATCCCTAGTCTTAATGCGGCTCCTAGGGCAGACGCGAATAACAAGGCGAGTCCGAATGGGGCTCCTGTAGTTGATGCGAATAACGGGGCGAGTCCGAATGGGGATCCTAAAACGGACGCGAGTAACGGGACGAGCCCAAATGGGTCTCCTACAGCGAGTATGAATTACAAGGCGAGTCCGAATGCGGCTCCTACAGCAAACGCGAATAACGGGACGAGTCCGAATGGGGCTACTATAGTGGATATGAAAAACAGGGCGAGTCAAACGATTCCTACAATGGCCGCAACCAGAATGTTCAGAAATATGAATTTTCACATGGATGTGAGTCGAATGGCCGCTTGCAATTTTATGGCAATGCCGGCGGAAACGCCGAAGGCGACACGAAGCGCAGTTGCTGAGGGTAGGCCAAAGAAGGTTGCTAATCGAGTGGTGGTTTATTCGATGGGTGGCAAGTCGAAGGAAAAGCATGGAAAGTCCTGGCTTTGCACGGGCTTTACAGATCAAGGATTGGCGATAGTGGTTCCTAGATTCACAGTTCGTTAAGGTCCATTGTCGCTTGATACTCATTACACAGTCTCCAGATCCCCCTTTTTTAAAATTTGTGTAAGTAAGCGGTCGTCCGTCTTCCCACCTCCATTCAGTCCCTGACCAGTAAAGTCCAATCCAATAGTTGTCGTAAGTCATATCTAAAAATTACTGTAATCAGTCTTCTCACCTTAGTCTTGTAATGCAGTAAAATAGCATAAAACACTGGAAAAATCAGTTTATTTATATAAACACTATACTGTCCACAAATGACTGCTCAGTCCGCGAATGAATCGTTACAAGAAACCCAGTTTTCGTGTTCCTGCATAAGGTAGAAGCTTTGCGATAAGTAACTTTTGCCTTCATCTGAAAAATTTAAACATTTTGCTGTCAGATAACTTTTTATTTTGTTTGCCCTTTTCGTTTCTGATATTTTTTTTGTGACTGCTTAACCATTTATTTTTGAATCTTTAAAAACAGATACTTCTTTGCAGTGAAGAGACACACCTCGAGATAGCACCAACCATTAAAGTAATGCCATGATTCGTCCAGACAGGGACCTCGACGAGGTTCAAAAGAATCATTCTCCTGGGAAAAAGTAAAAAAGACTGCTGCCAGCAGTAAAAAGAAAGTTACCATGACTTTACAAAAAAGCAATACAATGACGGGGATTCAAGAATAATTGACTAATTAAAAAGATTTGGTCAGTGGTTGTTGTGTTGGCGAACCTAGAGAAAACAGAAGTAACGATTACGGGTAGATTTAAATATGTGCATAATTTCAAAATACTTTAAAGATTTTGCTCTTTGGTATACAGCGGTTTTATCTGTGCTTTCAATCATTAAAACGGAGTATTGTAATTAGCTATCAACCCTGGAAAAGTTCTCGACTTTCTATTGGAAACTTTATTTTGAGAAGTCGCTTGCCTTATTCCTTTTCGTTATTTCCTTAATTATTTTCCATATAGCAGCTCACATCAGACTATTTGCAACTATTATTTATTCCCGACTAGATATTAAGTATTTCCACCAGAGAGTTGTAAGCTAACATTCCAGCCTAGAAAAAAGAGTCATTCCCTACTTTCTGCTGTCATTGTCAAGTGCGAAAACAACTGTTTATTGGTTTCATTCTTTTCGAAGCATCCACCCGCTACCGCTCCCGTTTCAGTAACCCGGTCACTTATATTTACTTCATTAGTAGTGTAAATTAAAATTATGGCACACACAAAGCAGGTTGTGTTTTATAAGTAATGGCTGGTGAAGAGTGCGATCTACTCTTTTTCCGAAAAAATTACTGGTCTTAAAGCGCACAGCAAGTGTTAGCCTGCAACAAAAAATTTACGAGATATAAACCGCACTCTTCACCACTCTTCACCAGTAAGGCAATTTTATTAGAGCACACGACACACCTTTACTGAGCTCTTTCAAGAGAAAGACGTATATAAAACAATAAAATTCACAGGCGATAAACATCATGAAATTTTTTGGAGTAAATTTTTGCACTGTTCTATTGCGACATATGAGCAAACTTTAAGCGGCATCTGTCATCCATTTCCTGTCAAGAAAGATGTATATGAAATTTTTTGCGGTATTCTATGAAATTCCCTTTCTGAATATCCTCAAAAGTGGAAAAGAAAACGTCAAATGATTTGCTGCTTGTTGTGCGAATCTCAATTTGTAATAAATAAGCTACAAAAACACTGCAAAGGCCTTTACTTCGTCGAAAAGTCGACATTTTTATGATAAACGATTAACGATTTTTAAAATTATTTGCTGACATATTGAATGTTTACAGAGTCCTTCTTTTCTATCTCTATTATCGATTAGCTGTGATCAGCCACGTGAAAGGTAGAAACATAGCGTAGCTGTTTGTGTCCTGAAAAAACAGCAATAAAAAGTAGTAGCAAGATTATGTTTTGTCTTAAAAATCACAGTTTAACTCTTGATGCTTTGAAAATACGACTTGCGCAAGGCGCCCGATTGAGAACTAATTCAACAAAATCACTTTTAATAGTTTTTTCACAGTATAGAATACTGATAAGTTGTACACAATGTGTTGTCAAATTGTCCAAATTTTGAAACAGTTAGAAGTGAAAAGGAAAGAAGTTCACAGTCTAAGAATGGAAATAATAGCACTAGTCAAAGGTAGACAACAACCTGAGACTGTAATTTAGAAATCCCGTCAACAGTAATACATTACCGAGGAGCTACTGCTTTTATACTTTATCATCAGTTAACAAAACCCTCAAAGGTACTGTCTAAAAACCTTAGTAGAGGCAGAAGAAACCCGATTTTATTAGCCATTACTGTGCAACAATTTGCGCGGCATAACCAGAAGAACCGTAAGACATGTGCATTTTGCAAGCAATAACACTTCCGTGTTTAAACTGTAAATTGAAAACGAAAAACGCAATCGAACTTGTACTGGCGTCATACGTCATGGCATCGGCGGTTTCTTACAGCGAGACGGCGTAGCTCGTCGTAATGAGTACATTAAGAAATGCTTGCAAGGATTTTCCTGATTACGGAAAAGAGGTTGCGGTATGCAAGTCATGGACAGGACTGCGTAAGCAACGCTAATTTTTTTCCTTGTCATGCCGTTTTCTAGTCAGTTGGCTTTCGAAAAGACCTCAGTGAGAACTATGTCGTCAATTACAGCGCACTTCAAAGTAAGCTCTCGATCTAACTAAAACTAAAAGAAGAACGTCCGAAAATAGTGGTTTTGAGAAACAATGTAACATAATCAAAAAACTTTTATTTAACGAAATTTGATTGCGACCTTTTATTGGATGGAAGGAGCAATATAATAATAAAATTAAAATCTTAAGTGAAAATATATCTGAAATGCGAACCGGCTCTCGAAAATCTCAGCCTTCCAAGTGACTTCGACTGGTGTAATCGTACAGCAAGAGTAACTCGTGTTTTGCAGGCCTTTTAAAGACGTATTTTTCAAAGCATCGTGAATAAGTTAGTGAGAACAACTTCAACTGTTCTGGGTGCAAAAGCTTCTTTCTCTCCCTGAGGCATTAGGCTTTCGAAATTTAGCCCTTAGTTGTAATGCTTCGTTTTTTTCCTTGAAACCTTTGCTGGGTCTTCAAAAATCATTAAACATTTCCTCCGCGAGCACACGTTTTCTGCTGTAGGCTGCCATATATTTTCCATACTATGACTAGCCACGAAACATGCACTCGTAAACTGCCTTACCAGTTGAAAACAGCGTCGAGACTGCTTGCAAAAGATTTCGTAAAGAAGTTGTAGGCCACTGTAGCTCCCTGAGAAGAAGCTCCCGAAGAGGTTGCAGTATTGATCATCTGTGCAGACGAAAGTCCGGTATAAAAGGGGCACTGGGCTCCCAAAGGATTACCAATTATACTGTCACCACTGGTAACGGTATTATTGCCAAGTGTTTAGCTCGGAAATTCTATTTTGCAAATTTCTTGCTTGCACTGCTCAATATCCTACTTTTCCTCCTCTTCATTTCGGGCCCAGTTTGCAGCTTGAGATCTTTACTATAGATCTCGAAGTCGATCTTATTTTGATTCATTGCCTTCAATACTGTTTTATTATTCCATAGCTGGGTGTAGTTAATGAGTGCGAACGAGGGCTTTCAAGATTTGCCGATAGTAATTATATAGAAGGAGCAGGAATAAACAGGTAAGATTATAAGAAAGCACCCACTATTATAGACAGTCACTATCCGCGAGGTATTTTGAGTAAAGAAATGGCTGACAAGGTAGAAAGTCGAAGACACAGAACTCGGAAATCTTGAAAGAGTTCAGAGTAGAATTAGAAGTCAGTAGTTGGCGCTGTGGCAAATAAGGGCTAATTACGATCCACAGCGGAAATGTTGTATCATCAGAAGGGCCCGATACGGAGTGAGTGAAGGATTACGAGTGTAGTATTTCTTTACTTCAGAAAGTTGTCCGTTAGCTATGACACAAAATCTGTTTTTCAACTGGTGTATGATTCATTTCTACCCATAAATTTCAGAAATTATGTTTGAATGCAACTGGGGACTGCAACTTGTCACGGTCCATTTGAGAACGAATCTGCGCTGCTGCACTTCTCTTTTTAACCTGTCTGTCAAACTGTACCACCGGATCTACTGGGCGCTCATTTTCAGTGCTATACTAGAGAATTGACATCATTTCTTTTTTTGTGCGTGAACTTCAACAAAAATCAGTAATGAAATGTAGCAGTTTTGGGCGGTTACGACAGCTGACTGGTCCAATAGGGTCAGACGGAAGCAGTGTAGTCAAGCAAAGAAATTTAGGTGGAGCTTTTGACCTGGCTGTTTGGCAGTTGTGTAATTTCCTGCAGTTCTCGCTAAATTAGCGCTTAGGTATGTTCAACATTCTGTGGTTTTCTACCAGCAGCATCTCACAAGACTTCATGCCTTCCGCTTCCAAAATGCTGAAATTTAGTTTTGGAAAAGTTGCTCTTTGTCCAATCACAAACTTTCTTATATGGTTCTTCTTTAAGGTTTGAAGCCAATAGAGTTGAGATCAAACCGTTATTAGTTGTCTGAGCATACCACTACCTCAGTTTTAATGTCGCATTCTCCTTGACCCCTTCAATAAAAACGATTTTCCGCCAAGAGGAAAACAGAAAATTGCTTCTTTTTTTAGTGGCACTACTTCGCCTATCTTGGGTTCTCATCAACCCAATACCTTTCCTTGGCTGGTTGATGCAATAATCTTTCTTTCAATACTTCCTGCAATTGTTGAGGTACGTGAGCGGAATCAATGTGCACTTCAACTTCTTTTTCTTCGTCATTTGCTCTTGTCTAATTGGCTTCTGATTTCTTCCTCTTGTTGACTGTTGTGATGTAGTTGCTTGCTAGTGCTTCCGCCTACGCAGCCGTTCTTTTTTTCAGTGCTTAAAACTTTAAGCCATTTAGGCGAAAGAAAAAACAAGTTAGTCTTCTGATAAGGCGTCTTTTTGAGAAGTGATTTGGAATTACCCGTTGATCTTAGGTTTTTTGTTGTCGTTCACTTGTTCTTTGTGAAGTACGGTAAT